AGTAATATTGGAATGCTGTATTCAGATGTGTGAAAGTAAAAATTAAGTAGGTGTTTGAGAGAGAAAGCTTATTATTATAAAAGAACGACTGGTCTGAAACACACGCCGCAAAAAACTTCCATCATCAGAGAATCACTTACATGCCACAATTTGTTAGGAAAAGACAAAGTTGTACAAAAGATTGGTAAGCTAAATTTATTTCGACGAAAAGTAGGTTGTAAATTGCGTTCTGCAGGGGAGACAGCCAAGTTTGGATGAGAATCATTGTTGAGCGCAAATTGTCACGATTATTATCTTTTAAAACAGTTTCCATTCATCATGTCTGCAAATGATATCAGTTATTTTCAATGATTCACATAAGTAGCAAAATATATTGCCATCAAGTAATTAGGCTTTGGAGTGTCGCATTCGAAGACACTGAATCTGAAACAAATGCTTGGAGAAATGTAATTTTCAAAAATATTTGTTGGACGTGATGCAAGCTGTACAGAAGCCTAATTAATTTATCTGAGAAAAGTACTGACTGAATTGCTTGAAGTGGAAATGAGATTGAAAAGTGCAGTTAGCTTTCAATCAAATCAAATCATTCGAATCCATTTCAACACAAATCATCCATCGAGCATTACAGTTGTCAGTAGTCGTAACGCACAGAACCAATTTAATTATAAACTTTCCAAGCACATCCCAACTATTGCCAATGATGGAAGACAGGAACAATAACACTGCAGACATTTGGTATCTTTATCTCTTATTCATACCGATCTGATTGCTATCTGAGTTTGGCTGTGTAATTCACGGCATTTTTGCCTTGCATAAAAGGGACAATCGATGTACTGAAGGAAGCATAAAATGAGTTCCTCGTCCGCCCATAAATCACTTTGCTTAGCGTAGCAATCAATTGTAGACGTCTACTTTTTTACTACAAAAACTGTTTTCCTCACTGGCAATTTGCTTAAAAATAAAAAACTACAGTTGTAATCAGTCGTCGACTTTGCCAGTGTTACGAAAGATTGATTTT